TAGTTCTGCCGCCAACAGTGGCGAATTTGCAGTCTTGGCCGCCCTAGACCCCAGGCTATGTAGTTCGCACCAGCCGCCCTTTTCTCAGCACTCATCATATATTGGTAGACTACACAATGAATGTACTTTATTGCTAACTTTTATCGAAATCGATTCAGAAAATTAGTTAACTATAATAGCTGCTAGTTTTCAATATTTTTGGAGGTTTCAGATTTAAATAAAACATTTAAAACGGTTTTTTCACGATTGGCCCCTCGTAAAATCTGGCCGCCCTAGGCCAGGGTCTACTGGACCTTAGGGCAAATCCGCCACTGGCCGCCAAGCACTAATGTTAGCATTACTGATTTCCGGTTTTAAAAGGTTAAGGGTGCTGGTGAGACTACAGACATATTATGGGGCTTGACAACTTTATGTCTCAGAGTAAGGGGCGTAGTGACAGCGCTTCTCAGACTTTTGTGATTTAAAACTATGAGTGGCACTGTAACTGTTATGGATAGGCGTGGCGCTTACCACCATGACTTGTTAGTCCCGTCACTTGACATTATAATTATTATTATTATTATCATTGTATAGAGAAGCAGTAGACGGCAACTACACAGAAAGCAATTAGAAATCGCTTTGTAAATCCCGTAATCTGATATTTAATTTTACGGTAAACGGCGTTACTGTCCACGAAAGGGTTAATTATTCTATTATATCTTACATATTATCTTATATATATATATATATAAAATGCATTGTATATATATATATATATATATATATAATTATATATATATATATATACACAATGCATATTCAAACGTCGCCACTGTTTGAATCACCAGACAGGCAATATGCTATCTAATATCCAGTCCCATCTGCAACCTGCGAGACAGATTTCAATTGAACCTTCATGCAAATGTGTAGTTTGTGCTTAAAGTCGTCTCTGTTCGTTATTAAACTAATAACTGCCTCCGTGGCCGAACGGTTACCATGCCGGACTGCCACGCAGAGGTCCCAGGTTCGATTCCCGGGCCGGGAGAAATAGTTGTATGGCCTACAATTATTTCTCTCGTGAGTTTGGGTGTAATTTGTGGTTGTCTATATGTGTGTCCATGGCACCAGCGACACAGGGTTTCCCTAGTGCGGGGCTATGTTGAGTGTGTGCGTTATAAATAAATAAAAATAAAAAAAAATAATTAAATTCTCCTAAGGCTCAATTTACAATTCTTAATAGCAGTAGAGCTCCTAGTAAAATAGTTCGTCCAGTGAAGTATTGTCACCTTACCTATTTCTGCCGCCAAGCAGTAATGAGCATTGGATACTGCGTTCCGATTCTGAAGGGCAAGGATGCTGATGAAATTTCAGGCACATGGGATTTGTCAACTTATGTCTCAGGGCGACGGGCGCGGTGGCAGTACCCCTCAGAACTTTGCAATTTAAAGCTCTGAATAACACTGCAACTGCTACTGACCGGCGTGTCGCTTACCACCAGGCGCACGACTTGTTCGTGCCGTCACTTGGTACCATAAAAAAAACATTGCCGCGGAACGGAAAGGAAGCTTCTTCTTCTTTACCAATAGTCGTAAGGTACTAGCCGATTGTTGCCCAGGGTGCGACAGAGGTACAGGAAAGTTACGTCTTGTGGGGAGGCTCCTTTCGTGCATCCCAGATTGGAAATTTTTTGTAACAATATTGAACAATAGCATGTTAAAGTTTATGTCAATAATTGTGTACCGTACAAACTAGATACGAGACGGTAACTGCAGATTTTCTGAAACGGCGGTAGGATTTCTCCAAATGACGCGCGACCTGTTTTTTGTGCTGCACTAATTTGTCAGTTACACAATGCTCTGACATAATAGTATATTTTTTATCGAGGGATTAAAACGAGCCAATATATACCCGACGTTGGTCTATTACTCATAGGTTTATATTGGCTTTGAGCCTCGAGGTGAAAAACTTTACTTTTCACTTTGATTGCGAGAAAAAAAATCAATCGTTTTCGCTCTACAATAAAATTACGAACCAAAATTCTGTAGCTTTCGCGGTATTTTTTTTTTCAATCAGACACCACAGGTACCTACAACAAACGCACTAACGCGGGAAAATAATATGGCGCCATCGTCTATGCGTAAAAGACGTGGCACTAAAACCGAGTGTACTACTGGCTGTTTGAGTTTGTTCACTCGAAGTAAATTAAATATTCTCAGTACAGAGTACTAAAAAAACCGACTTCAAAAGTCATTCATCCCCTAGTTTGTCACCCTTGGAGGTGGAATATTTTCTCCAAATTTCAATGAGATCACTCCTGAGGTACCCTCTTTCGAATAAAAAAGAATCATCAAAATCTTTTCACAATAATAATACACTCGCGAGCAAAAAAATGGAATCACCCCCTTGCGCTATACAAATACAACGATTGCCAATGATACAATATTTACAGTTAAATGTTTATGGTCTCGTTTGAAAGCCTATACTTTTAGCTTTAAATTAAGGGTAGAAACAAAAAATTCATTTCCGTATTTCAGGAGCTAATCATCTTTACTTAAGACAGCAAAGAAAATCAGGCGAAAAATAAAATTGAGCTTAGCTGAAAAATTGAACATTTCAAACAAAATCAAGCATAAGTTATTGTTTCAGTATTTTGTATTTCCTCCTCTAGCCCTTATTACTGCTTGTAAACGGTTTCTCATGGACCTGATGAGTTTTTTGACTGTTTCTTGCGGTATTTCCTCCCATTCCTCTACCAGCGCCATTTTCAGCTCATTGATTGTTTCAGGAGCTGGATTTCGTGCTCGAACCCTTCGTTTGAGCTCATCCCATAAATGCTCTATAGGGTTCAAGTCCGGGCTTAGAGCTGGCCAGTCCATCGTCGCGATACCGACTTCCCTTAGGAACTCAACCGTTTCTCGTGCAGTGTGGCACCGAGCGTTATCATGCATCAACATGAAATTTTCGCCAATAAACCCAGCATAAGGAATGACGTGCTCTAGCAGAATATCTGATACATATCGATCCGCGGTTAGGCCTCCTCCCCGACCACCACTAGGCACAAAAACCAGCTCAGTTTTTCCTTCCATAGAAATGCCTGCCCACATCATACACGAACCACCCCCATAAGCCACGGTTTCGGCAAAGCAACACTGAGCAAATCGTTCACCAGGTCGTCTGTATACTCTCCCTCTACGATCACTTCCGTGCAGGCACATCCTACACTCATCCGAGAACATAACTCTTCTCCATTGCTCGACTTCCCAATCGTAGTGCGCCTGAGCAAATCGTAATCGTGCTTGTCGGTGCCTTGGAGTTAATTTCGGTCCTGTAGCAGGACGTTTCGGGGTAAGGTTAGCTTCTTTGAGTCTTCTCCTAACTGTCCATTCACTGGCGGCTGTCCCTCGTACCTGTCTTAGCTCCTGTTGGACGTCTACACCAGTCAGATGACGGTTTCGGAGAGAAGTCGTTACGATAAATCTGTCATCTCTTTCAGAAGTACACCGTCGCCGCCCAGATCCTGGTCTTCGCACGAACTCTCCAGTTTCCCTGAACCTTCTGTAGATTTTTGACACACAGGACTGGCTTAAACGAAGGTGACGAGTCACAGCACGTTGACTCATCCCTTGTCGTAGCAATGTAACAATTTGAGCAGCTTCTACAGGCGTGGTGTCCATTTTTTCCAGCACTTTAGGTTAATTAATTCAAGATTACCACCAACCAACTTTGAACAATGCACTGATAAAGAAATTCTGACACTGGATGTTTGTATCGGATGACAATATTCCCAATTCGTACCTTACTTAACAAGCTAACACTTTGTTTTGTTCGAAATTATGACCGATAGCACAAAACTACGGCGCCGATTTTTTTCTGTTTACCCTCAATTTAAAGCTAAAAGTATAGGCTTTCAAACGAGATTATAAACATTCAACTGTAAATATTGTATCATTGGCAATCGTTGTATTTGTATAACGCAAGGGGGTGATTCCATTTTTTTGCTCGCGAGTGTAGTATGTAAGTTATCGCGTAACATAACCGTTAAACATTAAAAAAAAACATACAGTCGAATTGAGCACTACTCCTTTTTTTGAAGTCGATTAAAAATTAGGTAGGTACTTTTTACTCCCTTGGGATTAAAGGATGCACTTTACTCCCGCTACGTAAGGCTATACTGAGGTACTTTTAGAACATGAGAAGTGAGAAGTTCATTATGCTAATACCATTTCGTTACAAAAATTAGCATTTCGTTGCAAAAACATAGAGTACCTACTCAGGCAATTAAAGTATCATACGTAAATAAACAGAATTTTCTTCTGAAATGTGGGACACTCAAAAATGTACCTTAGTGTTACGCAATGACATATTTTACTAAATATCCTTTGCAACAGCAAGGTCCCTATAAATCATGCCTAGCCATATACCCTCATAATGTGTTAGAAACAGGTGGTACGCAATAACGACTACAAGCGACCCTTCAAATCCTGTAAAAGAGGAAATAATTTAGAGTAAACCACCTACAAATCTTTTGACCTTCAAATGAAAATTACTGGATTTCTTCTGATAATAGAAAAATGTTCATTTTGAACGATCTTGCTGAAAAATTATGTTGCGCGCAGTTATATATAGGATTGGCTCATATCTTTTCGTTAGTGTCATAGAAAGTGGCCAAAATCACTGGGTATTTGATTGCAGTAACACTGTCACCATTCCTAAGCGTATCTGTATAAAATTAACACAGGTCTTGTCTAAAGAGAGGGTAAGGAGTAACTTTTTGGAATGTCATTAAAAAAATAAATAAAATAAAAATCATTTATTTCAGACAATGTAGTCCATACAAGTTAGTAAGTTAGTAACACGACACCATAAAACTATGTTAGTATTAGGATTAGTACACCATCCCAAAAATAATACCTAATAATTAGTTACAAATATAACAAATTGCCTGCTGAGGGTGAATGTCAGAAGTGACTTTAAATAGTCATGTAAAACATTAAATTTATAATATCTGTCTGTATTCCCAGCACTCCCACATACGATATGGCTCCGAACCCTGACAAACAGTGGATCCTGCGCGTGACCGAGAAGATGAAGCCCATTCATCGCCAGTTCACCGACCTGCTCATGACCAAGAGGCTTCAGACGCTACAAAGCGTTGATATGGTAAGCTGAACGCTGGCATGGATAACATATGTATACACATAATAACCGTTATCCTGGTTTTTTAAAATACTTAGAAAATTTTCTAAGACTGAGATTTGTAAAACGAACTTTGATTTCAAGTAAACAAAACAGCGAGCTAAGCAAGATTTTCGTATTTACAAAAAGAACTTTGCCTAAATTTAAATAACAAATTAAATTAAACTTTGAGTTCACTTTATAATTTTTTGCTTAAACTTAGACAAAGTTGGTTTTGTAAATACGAAAATCTTGCTTAGCTCGCCATTTTTATACAGTCAAAGATAAAGTAAGTGTTAGGAATAACTCAGCCTGAGACTATACCTAGGTTCTAAGATAAAACACTCTGTCACAAATATATATATCGAAAATCTAACATTGTCAAACATACTTGTGGACACAGCAGTGGCAACACATAAAAGGATCATTAAATATGAATATGAAAATCGTTAGTAAAACTGGTCCAAAGCAAATATTACCTACCTTAACAAAAACTTCTTTAGCCGTTAAAAAGGCGCCTTGTGACACTTAAACACAACATTTATTAGCACACAAGATATAATACCCTTCATTTCACTGATTAACTTATTTTACATTTAAATTGAGTACCTTACTGTAGTAAATTACTTTAGAAACAAACTTTCGTATCTCGACGTTGAAAAGAAATGTCGCCATTTTAATTTTTAATTGCAACTACTAATTACATATAACACCAACGTCTACGTTTTTTACGTAGCCCGATTAAAAGAAAACATCCAAACGTTACATTTTCGTAACATTATTTATAGTTTAACATTTACAAATTACTAATTTAGCATTTGTTTAGGTACTATAATAATTTTAGTATATTGTAATCAGTCTTTGAAAATAAACCGTATTATAGTTCCAATAAGGTTTAAATTTACGTGAACGGTATTCGACACAACCCGATGGTTTTCGAGTTTTCGCCCACCATTATTAAGTGTTGATTTTACCATAATATAAAAAAACTATGGTAACTCCACACAAAAGTAGCAGTGCGGTTTGTATGTGTGCGCGCGCGCTCGTCATGCGATGCAAATTATAAGATGCATTTGATAACACGTGGAAAACTTTGGCAAGGCGGTGGGAATAGTAATATGAACGCCTTGCCTCTGACACACATAAAAAAATATTTCGTTCGAATCAGTGTCCAAATAGAAAATGCCAAACTGAACTGAACTGAACTGAAACTGCCTCTGTGGCCGAACCGTTACCATGCCGGACTGCCACGCAGAGGTTCCAGATTTGATTCCCGGGCCGGGATAAATATTTGTATGGCCTACATTTATTTCTCTCGTGAGTTTGAGTGTAATTTGTGGGTGTCTATGAGTGTGTCCAAGGCACCCGCGACACAGGGTTTCCCTAGTGCGGGTATGTTGAGTGTGCGCAAAGCAAAAAGCAAAGAAGATAGATATCTCCTTTGCTTCTTCTTGCGTTATAGGTATAACGCTTACTATTAGGTTTTTAATCCTAAATAACAAAATTATTTCAGGCTGTAGAACGAGTGTACCAAGAGCTGAAAGCTCTAGGAGAATTGGACAATACGTATCTCGTTTACACTTCGGACCACGGCTATCATCTCGGACAGTTCGGACTTGTTAAGGGCAAAAGCTTTCCTTTTGAATTCGACATTAGGGTGCCTTTCCTTGTGCGTGGACCTGGAGTCGAACCGGGCACTGTGTAAGTAAACAAAATATACCAATATCTCCAATTATTTGCGTAAAATTTTTGTGTCAAACCTTTTAAAGCAACTGATATCGAATTTTGCTATAAGTACCTACTATTATTTATGACTAAAATAAAAAATTGGAATTCCTATGAAAAGAAATTATTTTTCTAATTTTAATGTCATTTAATTTTTATTCGAAATTAATTTTGAAATGTCGTTTTTGCTTGCCGCCTGTTACATTCTTTTCCCATAAGTACTTAGATACTACATTACTTTTGTAGTACATATATTCTAAGTCAGAAGAAAGCATTCTTTCTTCCAAAAATATTAATTCATTACGTCATTACATGCGCTGTGGTGCGCATTTTCAATAAACTTTTTCACACGAAATGTTAAAATTATATTAAATTGAGAAAGTAGGTAATAATATCAACTGATAACTGATTTGTTGTGTAACACATTGCAGTGTGGACGACATAGTGTTAAATATCGACCTGGCACCAACGTTCCTGGATATGGGCGGCGTGGAGTCACCACCACATATGGATGGGCGATCATTGCTACCGTTGCTGCAACCCAGGAGACGGCGCCAGGCAGCTGCTCGTTGGCCTGATACCTTCCTCGTAGAGAGGTTGGAGTGATTTTTTTTTTACGGGTCTATTGTACGTTTAGACAAGTCTGTCGTTAGATTTCCATGTAGTAACCCGTTACTTTGGAGTACTATGGATTAATTATTTTTTCCTAAAAAATTAAAACATCTATTTTAAGTATCATTTGTTTATCTATAAGCCGCTTTTGAGATCCATGCACAGAAGTACAGCATATAAAGAACATTCAAACTTTTTCACCGATTTCAGTTCGGGCCGGCGTGAGACGCAAGCGCATCTATTATTGAAATACAATCGCGACATGTACCAGCCCACTACCACGCACTCACACGAAATCTCCTCTGAAAGTGGAGACTTCGAGGAGGACGGTGACGATGATGACTTTCTGGAGGATGACGAGGATGATGATGATGACGTAAGTAATAAAGACAAATTAAACTAACTTAATGAAGGTTCTCACCAAATTGGCACACCGACTCACGACTATGAACATTACTGCGTTCAAGTTTTGAAGGGTATGTATCTAAGGGTGTTGGTGAAATTACTGGCACGTGAGACTTGTAACTTATGTCTTAGGGAGGTCACTGCCACTGCGCCCGTCTGGTTTACTCTGGGTCACTTTGTGATTTAAACCTCTGAGTGGCACGGCAACTTTTATGGACAGGCGGGTTGCTTACCACCAGGCGCACGTCTTGCTCATCCCGTCACTTATACTTACCGCCTATTTAAAATGCGAGCGGTCGATGTAAAAAAAATTTTTTACTGATAAAGTTTTTATTGTTATTTCTTGACAGTCTACCATCGTACCTTAACTCCCTCCGTGGCCGAACGGTTACCACGCTGGCCTGTCACGCAGAGGTCCCGGATTCGATTCCCGGGCCGGGAGAGATATTTATATGACCTACATTTATTTCTCTCGTGGGTTTGGGTGTAATTTGTGGTTGTCTACCTATGTGTGTGTCCATGGCACCCGCGACACAGGATTTCCCTAGTGCGGGGCTATACACACTCATAGCTACGTTATTATTATTATTATTACCTGAGGTATATTGTGACCATTATATAAAAAACACCTAATTTTTTCAAGTCAGTAAGTGCGTGTATTAGTTATAACGAAATGTAATAAATTACACTCTGATGCCCTTCTTTCAGGAAAGCACGGAAGACACGAGTGAGTCGGCGAAAGCAGAGCCGTTGTTGTCAAATGAGAGCCACAATCCAGTGTTGGAAGAAAGTTTGGAGAAGGCATTAGACGCTGAAGATAGTGCTATTAACCATCAAGCTAACTTTCTCACTCCTGGTAAAATATTACTTTCCGTAATTTACTTTACTTGTGTCGCAAATGTTATTTCTCTCTTTGGTTATCTGTGGTTAACGTTTTACCATAGAAAGTTATTGCAACGTTATGTTTACAACATTAGATACCTCACCTTTAGGTTATTTAACTTCTGTAAGTTGGATTTAATTCGTGTTAAGATGCCTAAGGATTTGTTTCTATTTTTGAAGATCGACATTGTCGCTCGATATACTGTATTTTGACGATCGATAAGATCTGTCAGCTAACAAACAGATTTATTCGATTCTATCGACCGTTACATATCAAAGTTAAAATCGTACGAATTTGTAGGCCTAATTTAAATTCCACGGTGTCAATCAACAAAATATACCTTGTCGATGGTCTGTTCTTACAATTTACTCGATTTTGTCTGATCACACGTGTCGATCGACAAAAAATACGATGTCGATCGTTATTACACATTTACACGTTTTGTTCGATCACAATACATGTGCTGATCGTCAAAAAATCGAAGTAAATCTGTAGGCACCTTTACTTATTTAATATGTATTTCTATTAAATATTTTATTTAATACAGCAGAAGCAAGTATTGCGAGTGGTAAAGCAGCGAGACTGGCTGTGGAATGTTCAAAGGCAGAGTTGCAGGCGCCCTGCACGGCTGGCCGCAAGTGGAAGTGCGTACTTGTTAACGGCCGGTGGCGACGCCACAAGTGTAAATATGAGGTGAGGCCTTACGATTGAATTTCCTTTTTTAACCGACTTTAAAAAAGGAGGAGGTTCTCAATTCGACAGTATGTTTTTTTTTGTATTTAAATACAGTGTGTTAAAAGAAGACCTTTATCGCTAAAGTTAAAATGTTTTAACTTTAACGATAAATTTAATTTAAATTTTCTGGCAATATAATGCTTTCGTTGATGATGGTGATGATGATGTAAATTCTCAATATAATCTTGTTAACTTTTGCAGTCCGAAATCAACGTACCTCAACCAAAGATGAGTACAAAGAAATGCGCCTGTTTCACACCAAGTGGACTTGTCTACACCCGACTGGAAACCGATGGCACCATAGCTCGAAGACCTAGTGATCAAAAAAACAACAACAACAGAACTCGAAGGTCTATCGACAATGACGTTTATGAACCTAACACAGTTGAAAGCATACTTAAAGAAAACCCTAGTATTGGGCATTTAAGTTTCAAAAATGATGAACGAGAATATAAAATCACAAAGGATAAGATAGACCAACTAATAGAACAAACAGAAGCTTTTCTTGAAGCTTACGAACGTACCAAAGAAAATATAGAGCATAAGAGAACTAAGAGAAGGGCACAACACGCACAGTTTTCGAATCATAATAAACACAAGCGCCGAAATGAAGCTGTAACGAACAACGACGAATCGTCCCTTGAATGTAAGATAGACAAAGATGGCCAAGTGAACTGCTCGCAAGTTATTTACAACGATCTGAAAGCATGGCACACAAACAGACTTAGTTTGGAAGATCAAATTCGTCAATTAAGAACGAAACTTGAAGATTTGAAAGAAATAAAAAGGCATTTGAAAACAACTAAACCTCTTATTGAAAATAACCAAACACAGACAGTTCACACTATTCATATGAACAATCACCTATACAATAAGAGTTTACTACACGAACACAGTTCTAAAGAACATTTAAGAAGAGGAAGGCTCCACCGATCAAAACCGAAACACAGAAACAACACTTCATTTGATAAGAAGTTTAGACAGTCCAATGAATATGTCATACCTACTGTAAATGTTAATACGAATACCAAAGACGATGTATTCGATGTTCAGCTGAAAAACGACACTGTGACTGAAACAATAATACGAGCTACTTTTAAAGTAACCACTGAAGAGAGTACAATCAACGATTCTATACCAATTCTAGGTGAATTGCCAAAGCCTCAGGTTACAACAGTAATAATTGAAAATAGTAACTACTACAACCACAATCCAAAAGATGATAAAATCATAGTACAAAATACTACAACAACAGATGATATTCCAACAACAGAATTCGCTAAACTCTTTGAAATGGTTAACAAGAAGCAGGCAACAGATGAAGTGGTTGATAAAGAATCTCCGGTTGATTTTTCTCAAACTTTAAATTATTTCAACTCTGCAATAGACAAGGTCTTATCTACAGAAAAATCTACCGACAAAATTATGACTACTAGTTATTCACAAACACTTGCGTCTACTACTCTCACATCAAGCACACATAGACCTTCAACTGTAGAGGCTACGACTAATCCAAACTTAGGACCGGCGAGACTTGACGCTTCGGAATATGAGAAAAGAAATCCAAACAGAAACGGTAGCAATAATATGGGAATATTTAGTAACCCTGGTGATTTGTTTCAAAAGAGACTCCATCCATTATTCATTGAAAATGAGGATAAACATGTTTGCTACTGCGAAGAAACGAGGTGAGCTTACCATCATTTGATTAAGTATACACGCCAGCACATTGACGTATCTTGTTCCGTTGCAACGGCGGCGATTTTCGAACAAAAATGTGTAGTCTGATTTGCCGTTGTCCGTACACTCAGTAACGATAAAAATATGAGAATATTCAAAATTAACTTAACTTCCAGGAAGAATAGAGGCCCTGGTCACAGTTACCTCGAAGCGGCACAGAAAGCTAAAGAAGAGCGCAGGAAACTCAAAGAACAAAGGCTTCGAAAGAAAATGAGGAAAGCTAAAAAAAAGGTATTCCATCCAGCTCTTCACCAATCAAAAATATTTAACTGCCTTCCAGTACCTACGTATTACAACTCATGTTAAACTTAATTCATTACAATCTTAATAATTTACAAGTTATTACTTACTTGCTTTAGCTTTCAGAGTATTAGTATATCATTACATAGTCTCTATTATGTTTTCAATCTCTCATTGTCAGGCGGAACTGGAAAGACTGTGTGAATCAGAGCGAATGAACTGTTTCCGTCATGACAACGAGCATTGGCGTACTGCACCTCTCTGGACTGCTGGACCATTCTGCTTCTGTATGAGTGCCTCTAACAACACATACAACTGCGTCAGGACAATAAACGCTACTCATAATTTGCTGTACTGCGAGTTTGTTACTGGCCTCACAACTTATTACAACTTGAGGATTGGTAAGTGTTACACACATGACTCTCAGTGACTCTACTCAGCTTAGCGTACGGTAAAATTTTTATAAGGCAAATAATCAAGAATGGGAACACCTTTACAAGTACAAGTTTCGATTTTATTTTATTTAACCTTTTCAGATCCCTTTGAAACACAGAACCGTGTCAAATACTTGACCACAGCAGAGAAAGAATATTTCCACAATCAGTTGCAGCAGTTGCTAAGTTGCCGTGGTCCGTCATGCCGAAGATTTTCGCATTCTAATCCTAATGGTGAAAAATATTACTGATTCGCAAAAGTCATAAGATTGGAACGATAATGGTATATAAAATATCAATTTATGTAATTTCAGGTAGTGGTGAGGAGGTAACAAATAGGCGCTTCGAAGACGATCACATGCTTAGAGGCGAAAATGTTGGATATAATGAACGGTTAGTTTCTCATCTATTATGGTTAACATGAGATCAATTAAAATTAAATCATATTTATTTTTGGATGTGTATAGGGCATGGCGATCGAGCGGTTATGGTCGTCGATATGCACGAGCTCGAGAGCTACACCGGCGGCGGCACATGACCGTATTCTAGTCAACTTCACTTTTTTCACTGGAAATGACAAAGGCAGACGACTCTGCTCCTTTCAGATCACTAGACAAGGCCAGAGTTGCATACAAGTCAACAGTACTCCCAGAGTATCTTGTCTGAAATACTGATTTAATATCAATTTATGATTATTCATAGATATGTAAGATAAGTAATTAAAACATTGAACATGTAGGGCTTCCTGTAATCTTTTCAGTGAATTCTTTGTAGGTTTAATGTATCGCTTTTATTGCAAGGTGAAATAACTATAACACTTTTTAGGTGGTCTAACTTACCAACAACTGTGAAATGTTTACTTTAGAAATTAACACTGACTGCCTACATTCAAAAATATATTCAGATACACTTTATCTCATAACTATTTTCATTTTCCGAAATACAATTTTTCACCTTGTCTATATACTTGATGTATGTATTGTCTTCACTATGATACAGCTTTACATTCTGCATTCTATAATTATGTATTAGTTTTAATGGATATGTAATTATCTTATTATATTGTATGAAATTTTATGAGATCAATGTAACCAGCAGTTTCTAGATGTATGAGTATTATGAATGATATTATTAAATCAGATGTCTGTAGTTCATTAGTAATCTAGTAGAAGTTATCAAAGTGATATTACTGTTGCCATTGTGATGATATGTGTATTGGTTTTAATATTAAATAATTAAAACATTTGTTTCTAAATTTATTCCTAAAATTATTTAAAAATCCCATCACTACATCCTTAAATATCCAAGATTTTATCGAGCTCACTATCTTCACATAAAGCAAACAGGGTATTAGCTGTTACTGGGTTTTGTACATGGTCATATTCTATTTTTGGAGTATCTTTACTGCCAATTTTATCTGTTTCCATAATTTGTGCCTGTTTAGCGATATTGGGTATGGAACTATTACTTAAATTTTTATTTTTTTCCTGTTCTGATTTTCGTTTCAATGCATATGAGGTTTTAAATAAACTTGACTTGTTATTTTTTATACAAAAGTTGTATTTTTCGTGGTGTTCTGAACCCTTAGTAGTATTATCCTTACTAGTTAAATTGTCATTATTCTCATCCTCTATTGTTTCACTGGTATCATAAAAATCATTTTGATCTTCAGATTCAACTTCTGTTTCAACAAATTGCGCCCATTTTGAATTATTAACAACTGGTGTTAAAAATTTTTTGGGAGCTCTTTTGTCCATTTGGTCTATTGTTGATTCAATTTTTATTGGAATAGATTCAATGCTATTTATAAAATTAGCATTCCCATTTGTTTCATGTAATTGTCTGCTAAATGGAAAAGAAGCATTAAGCCTGTAACTGTCCATTTCCTTTTTTGCACAAGATTCTCTATTGTTATCTATATCATGTTCATTATTGTTTGATGATTTTGATATAAAGGGACATTTAAAATTGTTCCTCTTACCTAATTTCCTTACTTCTTTGGTAACTTCCAAAACTACCTCAGCATTCAAAAACATGGATTCACTCAGCCCCGCAGCAGGGGTATCTTCTAGTTTTCCTACAAAGTCTGTCCATTTGCTTTTCTTTGGGTCGGAATTTTCTATATTTAGTTGTACATCAACACGTTTGTTATCAAACTCATCATCATATGTTGTTTCCTTCAATACATCAATCTCTCCCCGAATCCCATTAAGTTTCTGTACATGAATTCGACATTCTTTAGCTGTACCAAATCCGTAATGTCTTTTAATGGATTGCTTTTCTCCACAGAGCTTGCATTCGAACTTATTAGCCTTTTTTGTTATATGAACCTGGGAAAATAATGTTCAAATTGTAATGTGTAAATGAGATAAATAATTTCATATGCATGTTACTAATATATTACATAAACGTGTGCAAATAGATAGAAACTGTAGCGTATTTAAACCAGAAATTCACTACATTTATTAATTTTGTTCACTTGTATTTTACACTCACTTGAAAAGTTAAACACTTGTAGCAACGTAAAACTTGAAACGTTTGCGGCATTTTGATTACGGTTCACTTTTATATGCAGTTCAATGATACTAAAATATAGGTAAAAAAGATGTAGGTATTTTTTTTCTTCGGTTTGTTATTAGCTGTGCCCTTTTTAGATTTTGCCAGTAATATAAAATTTATTTCACTTTATCAAAGAGGTTAGGTCAAAGAGTAAAGGAATGTTAGGTGAGGTGTTATTTTGACTTTTTGTTTTATAATTCCATACACCATGTGGCGATATGACATTAAATGTGTACAGCCTAAGAGAAAGAAAATTACAAATTTATCCTTATCATTTATTTATGAGCCACATTCATCACAGATTTTGTAAAGGTATCCTAATTTAAAAGTTTGACACATACAATGAATATTATTAGATAGATACAGCAATAAATACGGGGTCAAGAGCGTGTCAAGCTTGAGACTTCAGATTTAAATTCAACTCTATTTTGCTTAAAATAAGAACTATCTAAAGAGTCAAGCTTGATGTGAACTTGAGTTATGCAAGTAATATACAAAATTAAAGTAGGTCTAATGTATTAAAGTGGGGTAAGGACTTTACAGTTTTGTAATTATATGTTTTTATTTGATAAGTAAGATAAAGTGGGGCACAGTGCATACAAATGTAAAAAGTAAAATTAATATTAAAAGAACATGAAATTGCTGAAAAACACTTAGGTATATCGTTCTTCTTCAAATAACAATGTACAAACTTGGGCTAATATAACAAAAATCTTTTTCAATTGGCATTCATTTCAATTCGTCGTTTGCACATAATGCCCGCTGTATGCTACTGCATTATAATAAGTTAGGTATATGTAATCATATTATAATTAATTAGTCAGTCTCAGTGTTACGTAACTAAAATTGTTCAAATCGTTTACTGGTAAATAATAGCAGTCTTTTTGGTATTCAGTAGTACCCCATGAGTGTTGGCTTTATATTGATACGGTTATCTTACCAAGATTTAGTAGGAAGTAAAATGTCTGATCCATTTTTACGAAAGTAACGTATATCATTACCGATGTTTCACCTTTTAATTGTGGAACGTAGGTTTTTTTTTGTTATGTGAAGAAGGAGGTAAACGAGCAGACGAGCCACTTGATGGGAAGTGGTCATCGTCACCCATGGACATTTGCAACATTAGATACCTGCTAAGATTGGATACAGTCAACAGCACATCAAACTACACACTTTTCTTCGAAAAATGCCTCCAGTGCAACGGAACAAGATCCGTCAATGTTGCTGCCGTCTGTATATAAAAAACGAAAAGATTCTTCTACTTACTCGGACAAAGCCATCATCTTTGTCATTTATCTGGCTTCACTGAAAACCATCATTGTAAGCCTGAGTGGAGACAATTTTGGTAACATTAAAAAAAATTGTGTTTTCGTTTTGTGTTTTATCTTACGATAAAACACAAGTGTTGGTTACGTTAAGTTACGTAAACCAAACTAAGTTACCAAATAAGCTATTTTTCTTTCTTTTCTTTCAATGTTACGATACAATGTAAAGTAGCACAAGCGCCTCGCACAGTGAATAAAATGAAAAGAAAAATTAAATCAAAATATTTTCTTCGTTTCAAACACCGACAAACTATATACTGATATGTGTATCTACTTGTGTTGAATAAAATATCACATAAATCAGAAAATGAAAGAAAAACATTTTTTTCATTATTTAAAATTAATTTAAAAAATTTACTATATAAATAGCTTTATAAATTTTAATGACAAGTGTACCCATAATGCGCTTATCAATACTACATTACAACGCTATTGAAATGATAAAAAAGACTGAGATAGCTTTTCTGTCGCACTGTACCCCACGTTACCCTTGACTCATTCAACGGCAATTTAACACCCTAAACGCTTATTACACTACCCGATTTCAAGGGCCCTGCATCAAGGTTGAACGTGGCCACTAGATAAGGCGCCGTTTTTGTTAACTTATTAAATTATAAGTCTCCCAAATTAGGGGCTCTAACTCCCTAATTCTTATTACACCTTACCATCGAGTATACAACCAGAAATAGAGACGAAATAAGGGCCTCCATCCCTGGCAACTCATCAGACAAATTGGCCTTATATAACTTTTAAATATCAACTCTCGTTTGCACTGAAATCACAAATTAGAAAGCTGTAATAATACAGCGCCAACAGCTGACCTGTGTGTACGTCTCCGTATATTCCAAAAATATTCTGTATTTATTGTGATAAAAATAATATCTCCAACTATGGGGAGCTGTTCCACCTAATTACAAAACAAACGGAATCACATTTCATCAGCAATTAATCATTAAATATTATATTTATTTTTCAATTTTCGTCCATTATAGCAAAGTTCAAGTTAAACTGGTCGATTTGAAGTGAAACATTTTACGACACTCGTCAACTATTTCGAATTCGGGCTGGCCACCGTAATGATTTGGCAGAATAGGTTTCAAATATACTCGATGCGCCTTAATAGGTGAGAGTTAGGATCTTTTGAAATCAGGTAGTGTAACAAGGAGTCTGCGATGAGATTCGAGATCAAAAATTACTATTGTCACTGTCAAAGTGACATCTTAAAATCATAATTTTTTCTGGTTGTTTTATTTATTACTCTTGATGTAGTAATACGTAAAAATATATAAATACATAAAAATATCCTAAAATAGCCGTGTGAATATACTATTAAACTAGAAGTTTTAAGAACCATTTTGTGTCACAATATCCATCTATGTCGACACAATATTCTTGTTGAAAAGCTGACATATTTTTTTAATCAATAGATTATTGATTATTACCTTACAATAGTAAGGTAGTGGAACCAATCATGGACGGTTTAAGGATTTATTTTTTGTTTTAGTCTTTTAATTTTGGATGAGTTATACTATGGAACTCGAGGAAAGGTTTAATTAATTAAAAAGACTTCAAATAACGATTGAAAGTGCTTTAATAATATCAATTAATAAAGAAAATATTGTTATTCGAGAAAAAGTAGACCCTGTTTGAGTATTCTTATATGGTTAGCCCAATTTCCATTAATTATGGACACCCCGTTATGGACGGTTTTCAATCATGGACACCCCGTCGTGGACGGTTTCCATTCATGGACACCTAAACATGAACGATCAACTATTTAGCCAAATTAACAAATTCAATCTTAAAAAACGAGACTTAAACGAATGGTGTGACGTTTCATATCACCCATTTGTGACTGGTACAATGGGTGGTCATTCGCTTCAGTGCCATGTCTAAAAAAATCCAATCTAGTAATGGACGACCAGTGACGTGTAGTACTGTGTAGACTTAAAATAATGTAGCAAGCTATAAACTAAATTAAAAGTCTGGCTTTATAAAGATGGTAAACACAAATAAAGCTCTTTAATGATAAAATCCGACTATGCACAAAAATGTCCATGATTGGGTAAATAGCTAAATGAGATCCAGTAATAAACACTTCAAATTTTCCAATAGACGTTATGTTATTCTTTTACGGTTATGTTTTGCTTAGATGCTTAAAACAATATCAAAACATACAATAAAAAACGTACGTGAGGCGCGGTCCTTATAAGAGATCCGTTTTATTTTAAATTTGTTATCACCGTCTTATTTCGCACCGTGATAATGGCGAATTAAGATGGCCGCCAGCTGTCAAAATTTAATTGATTTCTTCCATTTTGATCAAAAATGATAAAGAATTTTGAAAGTGAAAAGAAATAATCAGCGTTTCTTTGTTTGGCGGTATAGTTAAAAAATGTTCATGATTAGTGCACTGTCGATCATCGGTTCCACTACCTTAATTAGTGTTGGGTAAGTTTCAGAAAAATTTCAAATAGTAGAAATTTTTCAGAAAAACGTCTGCAAAATTGAAATATAATTGGAAGACTCATGATGTTCTACGTTTTTAAAGTGTTATTTTACATGAATTATAAAAATAAAATTGTATAAACATTGCTAAATATATAATATTTTTAACCCCTGTTTGGTTCATTTTCACAAATTCTCATAAGAGTCCAGTATCTTCAACTTTTAACAGGTGTCACTGTCAAATGTGGAAAAATATAGGAAAAATATCAGAAAAATATTTATTTTAATGAAAAATATGATTTTTTTCAAAATGGAAATTTTTCCATGACCCACCACTGATTATAATCAGCACTTTAGTGGTGAAGCAATTTATTTATTTATTTTATTAAGAAGTTTAATAATTATATTTCATTTCATCACGTTTGTAATAAAATATAAGCCATCAGAAACCTTAATAAACAAAAGCGACAAATAAATAAAAGTTGGATATCCATCAAACGTTGCCATTAGAAAAAAAAACTTGGCCCAAGAATCAATTTCTACGAGGTAATAATATTACTATTTAATAAAATGGGATACTTAAAAAAATTTTGATAATATCTTGGTTGGTTTAGATAATATCACGGTCAAGAGAACTTCAAACTTGACATTATAGATTTAAATTCAACTCTATGCCGTTTGCAAAATAAGAACAGTCCAAAATACAAAGTGTCAAGCTTGATTGTGCTTCGATTGCACCTATGACCTTTATTTACACTTTTGTTCTCGAATTCCTTCGCAGAGTATGGTGTTACATAGGTAGTAGACAAATGTATTTAATAAATCAATCACAAAAGGTTGGTTTAAATTTCGAGCCTAATTATGGAACGCATAGACGTAATCTATGAGTTAGGTAACTTTAGTCGGTAGGAACGTATCTTACACATTTGGTTGATACTCGTATTCATGATTATTTGATTGATTAAATGAAATAGCTACAGCTTTAAAATACAATTTTACAAAATACACAATTTACTTACTGTTAGGCATAAAATACGAACACTTTAAGTTAAAATAACACAGAAACAATAAACAACCTTACAATTAATATTGCACGAATTATTATTTATAGAGGTATCAATAAAGTAAAAAGCAATAGATAAATAGAATTCTAACAAAACATAACCCATAAAACATTAATAATACTTAAAGTAAATAATTATTTAATAAACACGTACAGAAATATATTAATTACTTTCACTTTTCTTTGGAGATGACTACAATATCCAGTCTCACTTCTCATTCTTAAAACTATAGCAATAATTCACAAATAAAAAAAAACCTACTGGAAACAATAGGTAAGATTTTAATATAATTCATTTTGTTTATGTTTCAATGACTCAAAGTGTGGAGGTAAATATTATATACTTACTAAGTTTAGTCTAATATAGATATAGATAATACATAAGGATAAAATGGAACTACTAATAGACACGTTCACAAATTTACATTAAATTATTATTTATAATATCAACATATATATACACTGGACAATTTGGCACCTTAATTTCGATAGTAAATTACAATTGGCACAATAATGATCTTGGCACAAAATGAGCACAATTTTATTCATACGTTAAGTCCATTGTTTTAGGCCTTAAAACATTGCAAATGTCTTTCTATTACGTGTGAGTGGGCAAAGCAAATATTTACCATTGGTTTTTCTATACATAGCGCCACTACATAGTATGTTATATAAATATGTGAAGATTTACAGGTAAAGGTATTTTATTCTTGCACTAAATTAACGTATTTCAAGTACACACTGTACATACAATCAATCTCTATCTAACTCGAAAGGGATTATAAAGTAAGTACCTTTACCCGCAGAACGACACGTATGAAGACAGACGGACTAAAAATATAGAAATAGATTGAACTCCATTGAAAATTTGAATTTTATCATAAAGTTATTTGTTGAAGAAATATACGAGTATTGCAACACAACCTTGTGGTTACTCTATATTGTAACAATTTGTTTTTCCATTAATCGGAGTAAGTTATCGATTTTATTTCTTATGTATTGATATTTCTTTTTACATTGCGTTATCTTACAGCTAAAGGAACTTTCATACTTACTCCATGGAATCATAATTTATAGGCTTTTTTTCATGATTGTTATGTGTGCATCACAGTCGTCCGGCGGCTGTAACCACGTCGTGCCGAACCGCCCGAACCCTGTGCCTCGCACTCTCGTCGAACACGGTCTATGATATCCGCTACCAGTTTTTCTTCTCTTGAACGCTTTTCCTCCCAGTCTACTTTGCTTGAATCTAAAAAATAAATAGTACATTTTATATTTTTTAGGGACTAAAACGTTCCAATATGTACCCGAGGTGGTGTCCATTATTTCGAGGGTTTATATTTTGGGTTTTGATCTTCACGTGAAAACTTTTCTTTTTACTGTGAAATTTACAGTGTGAATGCGAGAAAACAATAGTACATTTTTATCGAGGGAATAAAATGAGCCAGTACAAATCCGAGGTGGTTAGACACCGGAGCTTCAGCAAGACTATTACTCCGAGGGTTTACATTGGCTTTTAGTCCTACAGTGAAAACTTTACTTTTCGCTTTTCGATCGCAAGAAAAAAATAGTCAATAAAGTACGAAAAACGATAGTGCTACGTCGCGTCAGTAAAATGTTATGTATATAACAGACTGTCAAATAAAAAAATTGGGTACTTTTGTTCCATATTTCATTATAGGACGCACTTTACTCCCATTACATAGGGCCGTATTGACGTACCTACATGAGAAGTGAAAAACACATTTTATACGAGATGAAAACCTATCAACACTGAGAAGCGTAGTGCAGAAAACTACATGTTTCTGCACTACGCTTCTCAGTTTCCGGTTACAAGAGAGTTGGTTAATAATATTGTGTACAGCAATTATTATTGATTCATTTAACACAAAAAAAACATTAACATTTAACATAAAAAAATATAGTCTATGAGTCGTATTCCAGAACTCTACTCAATGCTCAAGTCAGGATTTGAGTACGAAGCACTAGAAATCATACCCAAGTCCTTGCCGTTAGGGTCGTATTTCCAGTGCTAGAAATCATACTCAAGTCCTTGCCATTAGAGTCGTATTCCCAGTGCTTTTAAATAATAGTCAAGTCCAGGGGGTCTACTCTCGATCTCCGTCCGACATCCGTCCGAAACAATTACTGTCAAATAAGTAATGTTCGACAAAATTAAAAGACAAGTATCCAGTATGAAGCTTCATTCGCATCACGCATCTTTTCATTTGGTCAAGTATTGCTTATTTGGCAGTAATTGTTTCGGACGGATATCGGACGGAGATCGAGAGTAGACCCCCTGACTTGAGCATTGAGTAGAGTTCTGATACACGACCCTAAGACCACCACATATCAAAACTGTCACTGTTATTGTCACGCAAACAAAATGTCCGGATAGAAATCGAGCGCGAAATATTATGATCGCAAAAATGAATTTTTTATTTAGATTTTAATTAACTAAGGTACGTAACGAACACAACTTTTTTGAGTTTGAACATGATTCACACATACCAAAGATCGATCGGATGAGTGAATCAAAAGACTCGAAATGATTCCAGGACACCTACCCTTGGATTTAGCGGTTCTTTTAACTTCTGAGTTTTTCGAAATCGGCTCTCTAACAACTGTCGCCTGGTAATTTATTTCAGCCGCTCTAGAAACTGCCAAATCAGCCTTAGGTTCTTCTTTAACTTCTGAAATTTTCTGTACAATTTCTTTTTCGATATTACTGGACTCTACTTGCGCGTGGGTGGATACTGGACTAGAATCGGTTAAGGCCTCACTGTGTCTGCTTGCTATGTGCCCTATGTAACCTGAAACAAAGAGGAATATTATTTAATAGCTTGACGACTTCGGTACCCCAACGGTTTGCACTGTGGTGGTCAAGGTGGTCCCGGGTTCGATTCCTAGTGGAGCCAGTTAGGAAATCAACATTTTAAATTGATTCTGGTCTGGATCTGTGTGAATTCCGTCGCTTTGGTACTCACAGGGAATTCTATTCTAATACCAGAATATTTGGGTCATTCTTGCCTGAGCTAAAAATTAAATAAAATAAAAAGAAAAATATTATCACTATTTGAATTTTTAAATAGAAGAGGCGGTATTCCCCATAGATGTAGAATTTATGTTCCCTGGCAATGGCACTACGAAATGCACGTGTGAAGCTTGCGAGCCTTTCGTAAAAAGGCGTATTGATCTACAATCTTTTGCCATCTTTTTGGTGGGTAATTTTGAAAGGCATATATTTAAATGATCATTTTAAATTTGCAATAGCAGCAAGCAGAAAAATCTAAGCGGTCACCTTTTTTAATGATTGATTCTATTTTTCTGCGACATAA